GGGGGGGGGGGGGGGGAGGGTGTGCAAGGGAAAGCTGGGCTGGGAACGGAGCCGGCAGCCGCATCCCTGCCCGGTGCCCCAGGCACTAGGTTCCACTACCTCTTTCAAGCTCAGCGTCTTTGTGGGTTCAATGCATAGTGGCTGCTCCCAGGCCCAGGGGCTACCCCACTGCTACCCCCTGTGGCAGCCTGTCTAAGCAGGACCCCCCACCCCACAACCAGGTCACTACAAGTGCTGGGAGCTGGAGAGCCAGCCCTTGCCCGAGGGGGTTGGTTCACAGCCTGAACACGCCGGGCCCGTTGCCCAGCAGAGCCGCGTGCCCTGGCTCCCAGCCCAGAGTCTCCCCCTCTGGAGCAGGCAGGGATCCCTTTCTTCTGCAGCAGGGCATGTGGGGTGCAGAGCCGGACACCCCAGGATAGCCCAGGACCTGTGCCAGCAGCTTCTCCGCCGCCCCCAGAGCCACCTGGGGCTGGCACCGTGCTGCAACACGGACTGGACCTGCAGGGCAGGGGAGAAAGGCTCGGCCCTTACAGGGCCCCTTTGCTCCCCGACGCTGATGGGCGGGCGGTGCCATGGCAACGCAGCAGGGTGGCCATGCGCCCTGCCATCCGGAGAGAGCACATCAGGTTGTCATGGCGACGGCGGGTTCACCCGGGGCCCAGTGATGAGGAATGGCTTCCTTACAAATGGGGGGAGGCGGCTGGGTCAGGCCTGGCCTGGCTTCGTGCTGGGGCCTGGCCTGGCAGTGCCCGGCCGATGGGTGCATGCATCCCCTCAGGGCACGGGGGGGAACGATGACACATGGTCCCTGCCTGGCATTCCCCACTCTTCCTGGCTCCGGGGCTAATGAAGGGCTTGTTTCTGCAGCCCAGAAGGACACAGAGGCAGCCAGCCGGCACAACAACCCGTGCCCACCCCACTCCCACCCAATTGCTGCCCAGTCGTGTGGGCCTAGCCACCAGCCCTGCAGCCCTGCCCGAGTCTCCTCCTGGGGCTGTGGGGCACGTACAGCACTGGAGCCAGCCCCAGGCCCGGCCGGGAGCTCCGCGGGCTTCCCCATTCCCGCCTGTGCTCGCTGTCAGCCGTGGGCGGGAGAGCCGCACCAGCTGGCGCTCGTCACGGGAACAGCCCTCGCCAGCTCCCGGCTGTGTGCCAGAGCCCGGCTCCCACGGGCCGGGCTGCACACACTCGGCTCTGTGCGGACACCCTCCTGCCACAGGCGTGGGATGCTGCACGAGGCCGGGGCCTGCAGGCTCACGCAGCCTGGGAGGAAGGCGCAGGGGCAGGGTTTGGCTCCAGTCTCATGCCAGGATGGGGCAAAGCCAGTTCTCCAGGTACCCCCATCCCAGGGCTGCCCCAAGGCCCAGCTCCATGCACTTCCTGCAGCCGGCCCCGGACAGCCCTTCGCTGCTCACAACCTGCTGCAGCCCTGGCTAAGGAGTGGCGTGATTCACTCCTCTGTCCCCAGAGCTTCTACCCGTCCTGTTTGCACAACTCTGTGATCCCTCCGTGCCACGCACAAGGCATGGGCAAGCTGACAGCCTCTTCCTTCCTGCCTGGGGGGCATAGCAAGCTCCTGGGGCTTTATCATGACCATGCAACACAGGAAGGAGTGGGGGTGGGACATGCCCTGCTTCCATGCTGTGCCCCTGCCTACAGCACCGCTGCAGAGCATCCAGAAGCCAGCTACCCTCAGCCAGATTTCCCCAGGGGATGGGTCATGCTCAGCAGCCCAGGACAGGGACCCAGGTGGGGGCAAGGCCCCCGATACTCGCAGAGGTGGGCAGGGCAGGCTCCTGGCTATGGGGGGAGCACCCTCACCAAGGGCCAGGATTGGTGCAGGGGCAGGCCAGACCTCACTGGTACAGCTGGCTGGCACTAGGGTGCCTGGAGGATACATGTGCTGCCTGAACGCTGCCCAGTGCCTGGCCCCAGGACAAGCACCTGGGGAAGTCCCCCTCCAACACTCCTGTGAGCCTTTGCCCCACAGCTCAGGCTATGAAGCATGTGTCGCTCTAGGAGCAATGGGCTGGGAATCCATCCGCAGGTGCCCGGGGAGCACCCAGACCCCGACCCGACCCAGCCACAGCCCAGCAGAGCTCAGATACAGGAATATCCCCCTCCCCTGGAAGAAGGGACCTGCAGCCTCTCCCCCCCACTGACAAGCAGATCCCAGAGTGGGGTGCAGCCCACGTCACAGACTCGGGGTGCAGCAGGGCTCCCACCAGGTGCTGCCTGCCATCATCTCAGGGCCTGGACAGGGGCTGCCTGCTCGCCCCTCCCTCTGGCCCCAGGGCACAGGGTGTGAGCCACCCTCAGGACCAACCAGCTGGCCTCCCTGCCATGTGCTCATGCAGGCAGTACTGCACTGGTACATCCCACATGCAGCAGCCGGGGGAACTGGGGACAATGCAACAAGTAACAGGCGATTGTAGTCATCACTCCAGCCTCCTTGCTCAGAGCCAGGACAGCTGGAAGGGCAGGGAGCATCATGATGCCAGGTCCCTGGAGAATCCTGTCCCAGGGCAGGGATTCAGTGGCTCTACAGTGAGGGGGAAAGGGGCCAGCTCAAGTCCGTGCAGCAGCTGCTGAGCAAGTGCGAGGAGGCAGTGGAGTGTGCTGTGACCAGCGAGTCATGACCTGGCGCAGGCACCAGCACGCGGGTCAGCAGTTAGTTCTGCTAGTAGTTAGCAGGAGCGGGGAGGCTGTGAAAGGGAGCCCGGCCCACCGTTGCCATCACCGGGGTGTCTGCGCTTTGGACGCTCCTCGGCAAAGCATTGGCCAGGGCCTGGACCCCAGGCAGCATGAAGCATCTGCCTGGCCCTGGTTCCCCTCCACAACTGCTTCTAAGCCCTGCTCTGCAGCACAGGTGCAGTTCCCCAGGCAGGCATCCCAATGCCTGTCCAGACAAGCGGCCAGAGGGAAAACAGCCACCGCTGCCCCAGCCCCTGGTGGCTTCTGAGGCATGAAGGGCTCTCATCTTGTCCCTCATGCCCATCCTGTCTCCCCACCAGTGTGCAACCAGCCCCAGCCGGGCACATCCTGCTCTGCTGTGGCCTGGAGCCCAGCGTCCCCAGGTCAGACAGAGCTCAGGAATGTGCAGGCAGGGCCCAGTCCCCAGCCTGGGGCTCCCACCACCGCTCCGCTCTCTCTGGCCCACATGGCCCTTCCTCTGCTCCTGTTGATGCAGCCCCCGGGCTCTGCAGGGCCAAGGAGCAGCCACAGTGACCAGAAGCCATAGGATCAATGCTGCTTGCCACCCCCGGCCGCCCACACTGCAGGGCTGCTGTTGCCTGGTCCTCAGGGGAAAGCGGGAGCCTGGGCAGCTGCTCTGCACCTGGTCTTGCCTGCTACAGCCACCCCCGACTGCCCCGGCCCCTTCCACAGCTTGGGGGTGGAGGCAGAGTGAGGCAACCTCTGCGGAGGCAGGGGGGGCACGTGGTACTGAGAGCAGGAGGATGAAGTGGACCCCCTGGACCTCTCTGGCCAGGCAGCCAGCTCGGGCATGAGCATCGGGGCTCCTGCTGTCATGGGTGAAAGGGAGGGGTGCAGCTTGGTGGGGCAGGGCAGGGCAGGGCAGGGCATCTTGGGCCTGCTCCCAGCCAGCCTGAGCCCCAGCCTCCCAGAGCAGCTGCAGCAGGCAGGGCCAGGGCTACGTTGGCTGGGGCCAAAGGCAGGGAGCCTCCAGCCCACTCCTCTTCAGCCTGACCCAACTTGATGGTAGCTTCAGGGCTGCAGAGCCCCGGAGCCCAGCCCAAGCCTCCCTCTGGCACTGCCATGGGACTCATTGGGAGCTTGCCCCAGTGAACAGCTCCTGCATTTCCCCCAGCCAGCCCAAGGGGGCTACACACTATTTCCCAGCCGGGGAGCAGAAGTGCAGGGAGCCCCAGCCACACACCTTGCAGCTTTACCAGGGGGTCATTAACAAGGAACTAAGCAAAGCGACAGCCCCAAGCACTCTGAGGCCATGGGAGGCCACAGAGCTGGAGAAGGGCAAATCCAGCAGGCAAGGGCATGGCGGGTGGGCAACATCACTCTCCTGGCCAACTGTGTGGCTGGAAGTGTGTCTCCATCGCACCCTGCAGAGATCTGTCCAGGGCCCAGTTCAGCTCCACGTTCTCAGCCGTAAGGTAGATGATGGAGCAGGGCAGGTGCCCAGGGAGCCCACTGGCACTGCCGGGCTGGGAGGGCCACGGGCTGCCCGCAGCCCCAGGACAGCTTTCACAGAGACCCCAAGGGACTGGAGAGACTGTGGAAAGTGCCGCATGCTCCCCACAGGAAGGAGACATCAGGCACATGGAGCCAAGCAGGGAGGAGCAGGTGAGGAGGCTGAAGGGGCTCCAAGGGTCATGGGGGGCCGCACGTCGAACTCCTCTCACTCTGGGCTGCCCCCAGGCTGCACCGTGCATGCTGCTCCCAGCTGCAGCGCCACGCCCAACTGGGAGCAGTGTCACAAAGGACGTAGAGATAAGCTGCCAAGAGCCCAAAGGAGGCAACAAGAACATTGGAAAATGTGACCTGTGAGGAAAGGCTGAAGGAACCAGGCTTGTTTAGTCTGGAGGAGATGGCGGAGGGCAGAAAGGAGACTGCCGCTGCATCCACGAAAGGAGCATGATCAATTGTTCTGCCGGCCCACAGGGAAGGGCAGGAAGGAATCAGCTTAACTGCAGCCAGGATGATGCAGGCTGGAAGCTGGGAAAGCTCCATAGCCAGAAGGGATGTGGGAGCTGGTGCAGAGGGGGCAGGGTAGAGAACCACCCTCCAGCAAGGCTTTCAGATTTGGCTGGACACCTGCCATGGGTCTAGGAACCGCAGGTCCCTCTGGCTCTGGGGTGCACGGCGCACAGCCCCTTCCAGACCTCTGCCTGCCGGGTTAGGCCTGGTGCTTATGGCAGCACCCGGGGACCAGCTGAGAGCAGGGGTCGTTGTGCACCAAGGTGTTAGGGTGGGCCACGGGCATGGCCAGAACCAGGCCCTGCTGGGATGGGTTGCTCAGCTCAGCTGACAGCAACCCCCACTGCATCGTGGTGGAGGGGAGCAGAGAGGCATTGCCCAACTGGACTGCAGCTGAGAGAGATGCCTGCCCATGAGTCTGGACACTGTGACCCCCCCAGCCCAGGCAGGCAGGATCCAGAGGTCCAAGCCCACCCAAGGGCAAAGGCAGCTAGAGGAATAACACCGGGGGGAAGCGGGGACATTGGCAAAGCCTTGAGCTGGCAGGAGCTGCGACCAGTTCCAGGTTCCAAGGCCAGACCTGGATTTCCTCCAGCTGCTCCGGGATGTGGCTTCTGGGAAGGTGGTTCCCCTCCCCCGGCCTTCCCCTCCCGCAGGTTGCTCTGCCGTGGCACAGATCCTTCCCCCACAACTTCTCTGCTGCAGATGAGGGATCTGCTAGGCTTCCTGCCCCCACCCAGCTGCCCTGCACAGCATGCCTGGCGAAGTGCCTGGCTCGACGGGCCACAGCCTGGCAGAGCCCTTTTGATCTGGGTGCGGCAGCCGGCAGCCAGCAGCCACGACTGCAGCCTGTGAGCAACAGCCACGCGGATGCCACCAGGACGCTTTCCTGGTGCTCGACCTGGACCTCAGCAAGCCGGAACCACTTGCTCATGTCAGCGAGATGTTGGCACAAACTCACAACCAAGCTGAGGCGAGACTAGGCTGGGTCCAAAAAAGAAGGGGGTCTCACACTGCATGTCAGCTGCAAAAACCCTGTGCTTTGCTCCTGGGCAGCCTCCGCCTGCAGAGGTGGCACGAAGAAAAACACCCAAAGGAAGCCAGATGGGATGGGGTGAAACTCCTGCCCGGCCACAAACAAAGCTGCCTGGGGAGTAAATATTATTCTAGCAAAGTACAGGGCTGTTTGCCCTGAAATGCAGAGTGAGGAAAGGGCAGTGGCTCTGGCAGGACCGTGACACCCCAGCCCCAGCCCCAGCCCCAGCCCCAGCCCCAGCCCTACGGTGCCTGCTCGGGGCCAGCCGCGATGGGGTGTCAGGATCCTGGCTCTGCTCTTGGATGTGGAACCATGTCTGGGCCCTGGGTGCCAGGCATGGCCCAGCAGTATGTGAGCGGGGGGTGCCTGCTGGCTGCATGGCCTGGGCCCTGCAGCAGGTTTCACACCACAGGCAGGTGCCACATTGGTCATGGGCCTCTTGGGGAGTCTGGCTGTGGGCTATGGCATGGTGGTTATGGGAA